TTCCCTCTCCCTGATTATGTGTATATGCTGCACAGTCGCTGAGGGCACTCGAAGGAAAAGAGACAACAGTGATAGTGGTGCTCAGAGTGCTGCACGGCCCATTCACAGATATTAGCCTCAATGGCCGGGATAAGATGCCATGCCAAACCCCTGCTGTGTTGGTGATTGTGTGTGTGTGTGTGTGTGTGTGTGTGTGTGTGTGTCAGCCTCTTAGGATTCTATGCTCCTTTAAGCATGGGCGGATCCCCGCTGTGCCTTACGTCTTAATCACTCCAGGGGCGTGCAAGAGACAATGCCTCACTGTTTATGTGACAAGAATATAACCAGGTACGTGTGACAGCGCGCTGCAGTCTGTGTTTATGCACGTGTGTTTATGTTCCGCCTGTGTTATGGTCTGGTAATGACACGTGAATGGGATCCCTGGGTGGCTGGGAAACAAAGGGGGAAGCCATTTTTATAAGTAATCCAGAGGCTGTGAGGACTGGAGGTCATGCCACGAATGGCGACAGGAGAGGCTTTTGAAAAGCCCGACCTTGCGTGCCGCTTCCGTCTCCCTCCTCCCTGCACACCTGATTGCTCTCCGCCGCAGAGACAATATCCAACACACACCTCATGGCAGCCGGGTCAAAGTTCACATCATTAGCAACATTACTTTTCTGAGAACATACCTTTGCCCAGGACTGCCTCTATAATTTTCTGTCCGTACAGCTAAACACTCCATCCAGCTAAACACTCCATCCAGCTAAACACTCCATCCAGCTAAATGCCCTTCTCAAGGCTTTTTCCCTATTGTCAGCAGGTGAAGACTCCTCATGTTAATAATGGTGGGAGGCGGACGCCCGTGCTCATGTGAACTCAACAGCAGCACTTTTAAAGAGAGCGCTTGACATTACTACAGCTGCATTTAGTTGTGTTGAAAAATGCAGCAGCAGGAGATGACACGATGGGCCACGAGGCACAAATAAAATATGTATTACTACTTTTTTTTCCAGGACGGATTATGCATTCATAAATACTCAAAATAAAAAATACTCATATTTATCCCATTAATCAGATATCAGTGTCACTGCTAATTATAATTCTGTCTACGGCAGAAAACCTGCGGGTCTACAGAAGAATATCTGTATGCCAGGAAGTTTTGTACGAATACTCATTGACCAAAGAGCATTTTAAATGTCAGTTAATCCAAAACGATTAATTCACAGATGTCAACTTGGACTTTTAGATCAAACAAATTAAATAAGTAATTTATTGATTAACCGAGAAGAGAATCAGCAGATTAATCAATAAAAATAATAAAAGCTAATACCCAGTATTTGCACCTCTCGGGGATTGCCTTGAAAACTAAATCCAAATTGGACAAAGTGAAGTCCTGACCTTGGAAAAAGTGGTTTGACAGAATAATCAAAACCCAAATTAATGGTCATATTTACGCAGAACTTCCTATGGAGAGTAATGGTTTCCAGAAAATGAATCTTAATGTTTTTGGTTAACCCCCTCTGACAACTGAAATACAGTGTTATCTGCCATTTTGCCTTGGTCGACACATAGCATGCATGAAGCCACAGTTCCAGAGACCCCTCCCACATATCATTCAATGGTAGGATATTTTAATGAATAACAAAAAAAACTAAAAATGTAAAGCTTCCATGTGCAACATTTACACAATTATTAATGTTTGTTCAATTCAAGCCACAACCAAGTAAGTAGCACTGATTTAGCCTATAGCCAGATACAGTAAATCTCTCTGTATTATTATGTATAACAGCTTTCAATCTGGTGTCTATTGTGATATTTCTGGACTGATGCATGAGGCAGATCCTTTTTGACTCAGCCTATTGATGGGAACAACTGTGGTGATGAAGATGGAGAAGGCTCCAGCAACTAAATGAAAGTATAGTGGAGCCTATCAGCAAAAAACCTTGGAAACATCCAAGAAAAGTCTCTGATTGAGTAAAACAGAAACTCAGTGTTCAGAGATTAGTCGACAAAAATAAGAGATCGAAAGAGATCGACAATGAGAACGGAAAACTTTTTGGACTGCATGGTTTAACGAGAGTTTTAATGAAGGTTGGAGTCCTGCACAATCTGCAACTTCTCATTCAAAAACGGAGATTAAGTATCCCTGATGAGGAACACCACTGCACATGCCTCACTATAATTTACTGCACTCCTCAATGGGAGGAATGTAGCTTTCTTTCTCATCAGTTTCAGAGTCCCCTCCAGTCTTATATATACCCCCACCCCCACAACCAGTGCAGTGGGCTGCCAGCTGATGGCACCTTCATCTGATCGCCCTATAGCGTGTCACCAGGAGACTTGTTTTTCCTCCTCACAGAAGCTTGTCATCTATCATTACTGGCCTAGAGAATGATTTTGGCAGACAGCTCCAACTAACCGTCTGGGGGCTCAACGTAAACAGCGCACTGCTCGGCAAACAAGGGTGATGATGACCATTACTTCTGTAGGTAAAGAGGAAAAGAGTGTTTTTTACCAGCTTGCATTCAAAAAGCTCTGCAGGCAGAAAGGCATTTTTGATCATTTGGAATTTGTAATTTTCCTACGGTTTTTTTCCTTGGTCTCACATTCCACTGTGAGTATTTAGGGCACGGTCACACAAACAATTTCTGGAGTGGTTTAAACAAATTCTGGATCACTCGCTCTTTTTAAGTTAATATGAGAACAACAGAATGCAAACTTGGCTCAGCAACAAATAACCACACCGGGCCTGCCTGCCAGTGAAAATGAAAGTCTGCATGCTGCGCCAAGCTAAATGCAGTGCAGTTTGTTTAGTAGAGAGAACAGTCACAGAAACTAATGGTGAAACCCCAAACCGGTCCAGGCTTTATGGGTATCCAGAGACGGATGTTGGCACCTTATAGCCGGCAGGTAACCACCAAGATATTTTCATTGACATTTTCTATTAGTGGATATATGGGTTTAATTCAGGGTGGACCTTAAAGTTTAAACACCTTTCATGTAATATTCACTGAAGTTGCAAGAAATACAAAATCTAATGCATTACTTTTTGTTGTCCCTTTTTTATACTCTGCAGAAACCAAATATATTGGATATACTGTGACACAAAACAACATTTCATATGAAAAACATGATCTTAATGTTATTTTGAAAACTTAAACCACAATAGGATTAGCTCCTGAATACTAACAGCTTACTGGCTGTGCTAAAACAAAAACAAACAAAAAAAGTAGTTCGTATGAAAAAAAACTTTGGAAGTCTAAAGTGACAATGGCTGTTGTGGAAGGCCACACTCAAAGGACAGGGTGGAGAGCTTTCTGTAATTGAAAGCGACAGCATACGATAATCCCTTTGAATATGGGATTTCTCACCTCTACACAGCTGCTCAATTGCTGCATGAATGTTAGTACGAATGTCAGAGTGTCGATTACAGTAAGTTGTGGGAGAGGAGGTTTCAGATGCTGTGTGACCGCCTGACAAACACCAGTTGGATTGTAGGCCCTTATCGACATTTCTCATTTTCTCTCCAAATTGACATTTTCGCTTCTTTTTCATCTGGAATAGGTGGAAATGTTTGGTTCTTTTTTTTTCCTCTCAGGTTTGCATGAGTTATAAATGTCAACAACACACTCTCTCGCTCTCTGTGAATTCTCCAGATAATATCCTGCTGTATTCTCACATGGGCTCACCCGAACATTCTCTAACATTCTTACTAGAGCGCTTGCAGGAAAAACATTGGAGAATGTCCAGAGCAACTAACTCAGACATTTGCGTTCTCACATTCAGCCCCTCTGGAAAATTCCAGGAGAATATCTAGAGTTCAGTGCACGCCTTGAAGCAGCTATAATGTTGCGATGAAGTCGTCCTTATCGACTTGTATAGTTTGGGTGCTGGGAGATTCACAAAAACAATCTGCACTTAAACAGACAAAGTGTCAAATATCAATGGAAAACTGAAACAATGCTGGGTTTATGAGTTGTTTCACTTACATAATCCCACCAAACATAGATGCTACGGGTCAGACTACAGGACACAAGCTGCAGGTGTGATCTCAGATGAGCCTTTTAAGTTGTATGCAGCAGTACAGTTCATTTGCCAAAACGCAGCATGGTCGACCGCAGCTTCGGACCACAGGCCACGGCATTAGCAGCCTTCCAAAGTACACAAACCAAATACACCTGGAGCCCCCCAGTGAGGGTTGAAGCCCAGCAAACAGCGCACATAATAATGAGTCCTGTTCATCAGTGACGCACTGACCCAGCACGGGCACACACACGCGCTAATACACACATACACACACATATACAAAAGCCCAACCCCCCGTGTGCTTGCAACGCCCGCCCCCGGTCACCTCGCTCAGGGATCAAAAGCAGTATGTTGTTCCAATCAGTCCTCACAGTGGGCAACCCCATTAATTCAATTCTATTTCATCAGTGCTGAGCAGACCACCAGAGGGGTCCGTACATTCCTGGGGTCTCGCAGTCCAGGAGTAATCCTATCTCTTTATGACCCCTATCGGACTCTCTAGCCCCGTAATTGCTCGGCGAGCGATCTCGGGTTCTGCTTGCCGACAGAATTGGGAGATCTTTGCGGGGGGAGAAACACAGACACGCATAGCTCATTTCCAGGACACGGCAGGGAAGTCAAGCAGAATTAATGACACCATATATCAAATAATTCGAGACGATCAACCCCCCGCTAAACCAGGCCAACACTGCAGAACATGTACACTTCACACAGTCAGCTGTATCACAAGGATCAAGTGCTGCATGTTGAGATTAGAGGAGTGGGATTGTTCAGGTTATATGAGAGTAAAAATTTATTCTCTTCTCATAAACAAATTATATTCTTGCCATAATAATAATGTTAGTGACTACTGTCCACAATGGTTTCTGTGGGGAAACAGAAACGATGAGGCAGAATACGACTCTTTTATTGTTCTATTGCATCGTGCCGTGTTTCTTGTCTCGCATAATAATATGTTTATTGGGACATAAGATAATGAGCTTTTCTTGTCTTACCGTACCTTTGGTCTCCGGTGGATGTGGATGCTCATCACAGACAAATTAGATCTTTTGAGTATTGCCGTCTAAACCTGCAGAAACAATAACAGTTGGTGAATATGATGAGGCTTTAAAACGAAAAAAGAAATTAAACGTCTATAAATCTGGCCCGGATATCCTCACGCTCGCCATCTGTTAATGACGAAAAAAAACAGGCATCCCTTCACTCAAAAAGAACGAGAAAAAAACAACCAATTCAACTGTGGAACAAAGTGCATCAAGAGATTTATTAGTGTAATCTTTGGTCTGGAGAACAGATAAGCGACTCCACAGAGACTCCTGAGTAAAAACTATCAATAACTCTCCCAACTGTCCCGAGAGAACAGCAGAGGTCACGACAGGATAATTTGACGTTGGAAAAGGTCAAACTGAAAGCATATGGTCGCAGATGAAAAAGCTCCCGGGGCCTGGTGGCAAATGAAAAAAGAATTTACTACAAACACATGCATAACTGAAGGCTCCGCTCTTCTAAGATGACGACAAAGGAGAGGGTTCGCATCAGAGATGACACTTCAAAAGCCCTCATTGTCAAAGGTAACAATGGTGCTGGTGTTTAAAAAAGCGAAACGCGATCATGTGACTCCACAACTGTGGCAGCCGTTGGAAGTCACCACATCTTGTTCTTTGTGTAAGCCCGACTGTGATCGAGTACACAAAGACGTTTTTTTTATTGAAATGCGTGGCAGAGATCCTTTATTGCTCAGAATTATAACTTGTGCACAGCAAACTGGAGAAATAAATATTATTGTGGGAAACAAATGATTGTATCTTCAGTGTGAAAAAAGATTCTAATGTTCTTCTCATTCCAAATGAAGAAAATTGACTACAGTTCATGATTTAAAAACCTTGTGTCAATGTCAAGTGTGGCAGAGTCCTCACACTATTAAAGAGTGGCTTTCTGTCTCAACTCAACACAGGCAAAGAACACAGATCAAGAGGAGATAAACCAAGGAGTAATGAAGCAATGTTGAACTAAGGCTGCAGTGGGAATCTCCTTTCCTGACCAAATTCTACATTTTCCACAACAGAATTATTGAAAATAAAACAATAATATGAGGAATATACGAGTAGATCTATATCACCGAGACGTTAAAGTCATTGAATAAGATTTTTAATTAAAAACAAATACCAAAGAGTCAAATTAAATGATATTCAAGCATAAATAAATCTGGCGTGCTGCTTCTGACCTTTTTTAGTAGAGAATTAGTTTGTGTATTCCACTATCAGAAGATTGCAATAACTTTCATATTTGTATTTATTTCTGATGATGATATTTTGGACTGTAAGTTCAATACGCTTGTTGTTCACTGTACAGACGTGACAGAGAAGACTGTCTGAATGCATGTGCTAGAGAAGGCTGTTATTTCTGCTGTTTCTAAGCAGGAAAACATCACCTCCCCCGCTTTCTCGATGGTTGCTGCCCTTTCTCTCTAGTGACACATTTAACACAGCTGAATTTCTCAGGTGCGTTCACGAACATCTTTTGGGATTTCTCCAAAGTCATTCTGGGCAATGTAGACAATCTCTTACTGTAGTAAAAGTAGATGAGGTGGCTTGAGAGAGGAAGAAGAAAATTAGATCCCATCAATTGTTGGTATTTGATGAAATGCAGCAGAGAAAGAATTTATGAGAAATGTTTTTGTCTTTCCTTCTTTAAACTGCAGCACTACAGGAATACAGTCATTTACCAGGCTGCGATTATGCTGGGCAGTTAATAAGCAAACCATTTACACAGGTACATCTCTCTCCCTCTCTCTCTCTCTTTCCTCGCACCAGCTCTCCTATTTATAGCAGTTATGCTGCCAAACATTATCTTTTAAAATGTCTAAACATTTGAAGCATCTACTCGTCTTCGAGATAATAGGCTGATGATAAAGACAGTTCTCAGAAAAGGCTGCAGGGCAGAACTATACGTCTGAGGCAAAGCAGACAGGGAAACCTTTTCAAAGAGTGAATAGTTATTGATTGCTCATTCATAATGTTTTGCTGACCGAGACACATAAATATCGTCGGACCTAATAGTCCAAAGAACACGATTTTGACTGAGCTTTCTATATTCTTAAAAAATAAAAGTCTGATGTCCATTGTGATGATGGTGCAAGAATGGAAACGGCTACTTCGCCAATTCGTCCTCGAGAGGATGATAAAAGACAGTAGCTTTCTATTGTCGGTTTATGGAGCTGAAAAGCCGCTGCTGTTGCAGATAGAGCAATTTAAAAAAAAAAAAATTCTGACTAAGGGTCATGTAACAGTTCCAAAACTGTACTAAGTGAGACATCATTAAAAGTTTTAAATTGGTCCAACTGGGAACATGTAGATATTTATTGTAATAAAGATTAAACCTATACATACTTTGTTTTTCCTGCGACCTCTCATTTATCTCACGACATTTTAAGATTATAATGAACTACAAAAACATGAATACTTTGGTATAGTGCTGTTTAGATAAAATCTGACTTTTCTCCCTGATAAAACAACTAGAAAATGAGTAAAAACCCTGAAGGAAAATTGTTTACTTTGCCATGAAATTAGAGATGTTTTCCATTAACGCCACACAAAGCAAGATCATTACCTACCTAATTGACTTCTCCCTACAGATTTACATTTGTCTCCTCTTCCTCTAATCAACAACTTGCATATTATCCATGATAAAAAGCAGTTCGGGTGCATAAAGTCACATCTGGGTAACAGTAACAGATAAGTGAAAGGATAAATACCTTGTAGTACAAGATAGACGACGTTAAATTTGTTAAAATATGTATCTACTTTCAGGAGTTGAATGGATATGGCACAATAAACCTGTGTGAAATGATTTGGGAGCTATTGCTCATTTCAATTTATCTAAAAACAGAAGGCGTTCGCTCTCCTTCAGAGAACATACAGAAGTTCTACCATGCCAATTATTGTAAACTTGTCATAATAAACCCCGGCAATAAATCATCGATGTAATTATCAATTGATTGAAGCAGCTATCTAACTGTGAAAAACACTCAGACCCATAATACATCAATTTTAATGGTGTTTTTTAATCAGAATGCTCGGCAATCAGCAAAGACCAATTGGGGCCTGAGAGATAGAGACACGCCATTAATAATCAAACTTGGCCGCCATCGCAGTGACTCCATTCTCGAGAGGCTGCGGGAGCCGTTTTCAAGTGGACTATTAATTTCAGGGCGAAGGTATTATTGCAAAAATTCAAGATTTGCAATATGGCCAGGGAAAACAAAGCAAAGCAGCTACTCCCTGCAAATTCTAAGCAGCCTCATGTCAGCCAGACTGAGAAATGATCACAGAACGCTGTAACTACAGTTTAAATATTTCTCTCATAAAATTTCCAAGCAGCAACACATTCATGTCCTGGAGAGGGAGGGAATGGATAGGCCTATCTTGCAAATGCTTTTAGAAATGGAAATGTCTATTTGGAAAAAGCTATAAAAATTACACCAAGGCCCACAGGCAGACAAGCGTTGACAAAAGATGTCTTTACACTACCTTAAGCCGGAGCCATATTATCATTAGGGGTCAGTTTTATCACTGCCAAATGTCCTGTGTGTGTCTTTGAATACAAAAAAACCCCTGCAACACATAAAACATAAGAGCTGCAGAGAGTGAGCAGAAAACATGGCTCTTCGTGTCATTCCAAGCAGGAGTTTACGACTCTCTGATTTTTACTGAGCGGTTATTTCCTTGGCCACCGATATGAGCGGTGAATCGCTTGACTTTCAAGTCCACTACAATGAACTGCAGAGATTTAGAGAAAGGTTAAGTAACTCTGCTTCCATTTTCACATAGTAAGAGCCCTGTCCCTGTGACTGCTGCTTGATATTTCTACCCTGATATATGAATGTAAATAGTCCTATTTTGATATTTCACTGAACCACGGACACAGCAAACATGATGACGTGCAATTTTTCCTCATCTACAGTCTCGGTGACGACAGCTCGACCCCCTGACAGACAGTGAGAGCAACTTTTGGAACAGAACAGCGACTATAAACGGTTCCATTCCTCGCAAGAAAGCATCCAGAGACTAAGGCAAACAGGTTGTAAATAGGATGATATCACCGATGCACATTACACCTCCTGCGAACACATGATTTATGATTCCTCTTAACTCAAAAGCCACCTTTAAACTTGCACTGTTGGGAGTATGCAAATGGAGACACCACTGTAAGCCGCTCTTATGTATATTTCCATTAACTGGGAACTATTTACATATTCACTCCTCACTGGAGATGAGTGATTTAGGAGTTTTTTTCAGTTGCAGAATGAGAGGATTCACTGAAATAAATATATATGTTCGAGGATAAAGAAGTTGCAATATCTAGGGATGCAGGCAGACTATAGCTTGTCATTTCTGGTTATTCTCTATAATGGTCACATGATGATTTCTGGGAAAGCCTGCTGGACATCAAAATAGTTTCGAAATATTTATTTTGATTTGTTTCTTACGAAAAAACTCCACAGTGCATTAACAAGAGCTCTTAAACTATGTCACTGTTGTGTAGTGCACTCCTTAAGTGACAGTAACAAACTTCAAATACTTTTATCATAATTTCCCATGATCCTGAGAGGAAAGACAGGAGTGGGGAAATGAGTTCGAGTGACTTCAGTGGTCAATGAAATTTGTTTTCCACTAGAAGTAATTTGAAGTCTGGTCTGCCTCAAGCGGACAGTGCTGGTTTGAGTCTTAACATTCCACCTCAAAAACCTGACCCCACTCTCTAACCATCAGTTCTCCTCAAGGCGGATTTAATTATTCAATTTCAAATAAATTATTGCATAATACATCCATGTCCCTCTAAAGGGCCAGTGCACTCTCAAATTACGTACGCTATATTCTGCATTTTCAACAGCGCAGACATGCCAAGAATAGATTCTTACATTTTTATTATAGATGATGTTTATTCAAAAGTGGAGATAAGATAGTAAAATACACCTTATTAAAATGAGGTTAATAAAAGAAATGCCAGGGGAGCTGTGGCTGTCGTACAGCCGCAGAGCAGAAATACTGTGACCAGCCTTAATGGGAG